ATGAGTACATTTATTTTAAATATCTCACACTAGGTAGAAGCTTGAGATATTTGTTGCTCTGTGACTGGCTTATTTCACTTTGCATAATGTCCCCAAGGCATAATGTCCTGATGGCTCACAGTGCAGGATTTTCATTGGAATGTTGGGCCTGATATTAAGGTGTGACAGTTATGTGCCCTTTCTGAGAAATGCATACTAACATGATGCTTTCCTTGTGTGAACATCACAACATTAAGCACTCTGCATAATTGCATGTGTTACACTGTTATCAGGTAGAAACGCAGTGGAGTCATTTATACCAAAGTCTCCGCAGATAAGTGAGCAATGTGTTAGGCCACTAGAGCTACCATGGGTTAGCAGCGCTAATGATGAAACATCACCCACCCATGTCTGAGGTTTTTTAGTCATAGATTGATCCTCTATGGAGTATTCAAAGTCAGAGCTCTTGGATTTTATGTCATAATCCCTAAAAGACACAACCCTAAGGTTTTAAGTCCCCAATGATTAAAATTCCTCATCTAAAAATCTATAAAAATCGCAATCTTGATAGATTAAAATTTCAAATATTGAAATTCTAAGAGCCAACATCACCCAAAGGGTAGTCCTTATTTTATACAGGCTGAAAAGGAGAAAGTGAAACCTAAATTCTGGGGAGTGGATCAGCCATGCCATAGGAGAATAACAAAAAGTTCCATTAAACATTTGTCATGTGACTGCAGTGGCATTCTTTCCAGCTAACGGAATCCCCAGAACTTTAAATAAATTAAAGATGTATTTGCTGTGGAAGATGCTGGCCAGTTTGAAAATAACTATGTACATGACAGCCTTCTGCAGCACTGTTGCTTCGGATTCACGAGTATGCTTTCTAACAAACCTCTGATCTGTTCATGAACACATATGGAATGCATCTCTGCACATCCAAAACAACACAGAAACACGACACATGTGTTGGGAAAACAACAGTGAAAGATCGTTCCACGTATATCAAATCATAGCCCAATTTCAAAAAGAACAATGTCACATAGGAAATAAGTATGAGTGTATTCTCCAAGGAGAATCAATGGTCTGAAAGACAGAAAAATAAGAAATAAAAAGGCAACTCTTCATCAAAATAAAAACCTTCATAATACAGCCCATGCTTGTGAGAGTGAGTGGGCTCCTACAGACTGCCTCTGCATTTTCCCATCATCTATCCCTATAATGCACTTTTTACGCACCAGTTTTTCTTTTCAGTTGTTTCTATTTGTTTTTTTTTTTTGTATTAGTTTTGCCTCTATTATTTTAACCCAATGTGATGCTTTTTTTTTTTTTTTTTTTGGAAATTCAATATGCTACGTATTTCATCTTCATAGATTTTCCAAAGAGATATAGGTTGTGAAAAGACTTTCAGAGAGTTCTAATTCATTTTGTGCATTCTTTTGCAAAGCTGATTCCACAGAAGTCCATTATCACATAGGTAACTGTGTGTAAACATTATGCTTATGCATAAAATTGTGGAAACCTCCCCTAATCAATAAAGAGGTGTATCCTGGTGTATTTGTATTATGAAAGATAAAATTACTTGCTATCTCAGCTCTTTGGATGGTTGCAGATGTAGTGTTAACCCATCATAGTTTTTGATTGATTCCATCCAAAGACATAGACTTTCTGTTATCCTCATTCAGATGACTGCCATTCCAAAGTGGGGTTTGCACAGTTCCCAGTCATAGTGGCATGAGTTTATATATTTTTCCTTTTCACTTATGTACTGACAAAGTTTATCTGTTTATCCCTTTATATGCACCCAATTATTATAAGTGTCTTTGAATGCTAATACTTATAAAATATAAATTTTGTTATTACCTATTTTACTGTGAAAGGTGGATGTATTGGTAAGTTTTCCATTGCTGTAGTAAAACACAAAGGATGCAATCATTTGTAAGAAAATTATGTTTATTTAGCTTCTAATTCTGGAAGCCTAAGAAGAGTTGTTGGCCTCTGCTCAGCTCTGGTGAGTCCACAGGAGGATGGAACAACAGAAGCTGGAGTACACACAGGAGGGATGACCTGGGGAGATGAGAAACCTGACTCTTGTTTAACTTAGTTTTCACTTCTTACACCCTTGTTTCTAATATGTGGGTAAGAAGAAGATGGTTTGAACATCTTTGTGTATGTTTCCAGATGACGGCTGTAGTGACGAGGATAGAACAATGTCCAAGAGCTATTGTGAAGAGTAAGTTAAATAGGAATAAAGACATGTTTACAAATCACTCTCAGAAGAGTTAACTGGCTCCACGAGACCAGCTTTAATCCCTTCCAAAGACAGCGTTCTCAGTGGCCTAATTCCCCCAATTCAACCTATTTCTTGAAAGTTCCACCAATATTCATTACTCTATTGAGGATTAACTTCCCAACAGAAAATAGTGATCTATGAAATGTTTTGCCATGATTTATGTTTCTCAAATAAATTATTCTTTAAAAGTGCAAGTTTATGAATTGTAAGAAACTTTAGGGCCGGTGAGATGGCTCAGTGAGTGACCTGAGTTCCTCTGATTTTCACATGTGTACCATGGTACACACACACACACACACACACACACACACACACACACACACACACACACAGAGAGAGAGAGAGAGAGAGAGAGAGAGAGAGAGAGAGAGAGAGAGAGAGGAGATTAATATAAAAGAAGATTAAAAATTTAAAATTCTTTTCCTAGCATTGTATCTTTTTGGATTTTGACTCTTCTGTATTAAAATGTTCACTAGGTTGAAAGGACACAGACTACAAGCCTGGCTGGAATTTTTCTTCCCTTCTAACTGCTCACTTCATCCTCATAATTCATCCGAATACAGAACATATGCCCTTATGATAACCTGTGAAGATTCTTAATGCGCTATATAGAACCCTGAATGCCATGTGAAGAGCCCAAAGGGGCATATGTAGACCAAATGAGAGTCTCTAGAGACATAGTACCAATATAGTGCCCACGGTGCCCAATAAGGAGCATGTAGGGACTGATGTAGGACTCATAGCAGCATTTATATGCTTTATGGTACCCTATATACAGCTCACAGTGCACTTTTCCAGACCACTTAGTAGTCTCACAGAGTTCATTCTTCATTTTTATGCACCACATAGTACACTACACTTTATAGAAGTAACTGTCCTACATATGACATATATTGCTTTATACTGAGGCTGTAATTGTTCCATATTGATTTAATATTGCAATGTGTATACCCATGTTGCCCTGTAGAGTGACTATAGTACATGTATAAGAATACAGTGAATGTTGTAGAGGCCACACTATCTTGAGAAGACATAATTATGCTTTTCAAATACTGACCAGTGTTAATCTTATATTCTGCTGTATTAAGCTCATATTGCCCTTTAAAGAGCTCATAGTTTAATTTTAAAGGCCATAGTGTTTATACTAACCACATAGAAACCTATATTGAGGTAATAATGCTATGCATACATTTCATATTGAATTGGCATTGACCCTTACAGAGCTCTCTGTGCTTCATATAGGACTATACAGAGCTCCTGGTGCCCTATGTAGATTCATAACCAACCATTGTAGAGCTCATTAGAGGCCACAGGGTCTTGTCTGTAACTCATAGGGCACTGTCCTTGTGTCTTGTATTGAGCTCACAATACATCTGTCCATGTGCATAATGCACCCTCTTTAGTGCATGGTAAACCTTCACAGACCTCATAGTACTCTGTGCTCAACTCATATATCTCAGGAAGCCCTGACATCACTCACAGTGCATAGTAGAGACTTAATAAAACCCATTATAAAGCTCTCAGTGCACTTTTATATAGCTCACAATGCCCCTCTGTAGACGAATCTTGATAGGATAAGTTCACCCAGCCCTACACTGAACTCATTTTGCCCTTTTAAGAGCCCACAGTGTCATTCATTAAAGCTCATAGAGAACCTATATAGGTTCTTTAGTGCCTAGCATAGTCTTCACACTGTAATATAAGAGCTATACCTTTATTGAGGTCATGGCTGATGATTTACAGCTCATCATGAAATTTCTAGATGCTTTAGTATCCAGTATAGAACTCTGTGCTCTGCCAGAGGTTGCATTGCCTTCTATAAACCTGATATTGTCCTAATTGGCCTCATATTGATGTGGAGAAAACTTGTAATGCAGCATTTAAAGCATGTAGAACTGAGCATGGTGGTGCATGCCTTTAATCTCAGCACTTGTGAGGCAGAGGCAGGAGGATCTCTGTGAGTTTGAGGCCATTCTAGTTTATATAGCAAGCTCCATGGCTACATTGAGAGATCCTTTCTCAAAAAACAAAAACAAAACAGCTCATAGGCCACTTTTACTTTTTAGAGGTCATACTGCACTGTGTAGAAACCACTGTTCCATTTGTACAAGTTACCTGTTGCTTACAGAGCTCATACTACATGAATCAGAGTTCATATGTACTGTATAGAACTCACAGTGCCCTTTGCAGAAGTTGGAATGTCTATATACACTATGTATATTCTTTATAGAGCTCATACTTCACTTGTACAAAATAAATGTGAAAGATGAGTATTAGGTTTACTTTCTTTGAGGGGTTAATGAATAAACACATTTGCTTTTGTTGATCATGTTATTTTCTTGCAACTGTTCTGGTTTTCCATTATACCTTTTGGCTATTGGCAATGCCAAAAATGAAGGTAATTAGCTACCTTCTAATAAAACTTTATTAATAAACAGCAGTCAGTGGGCTAGACTGTGGTCTTAGTCTATAGCTTCCTTGTCTTTGTATGACATAGTTTTAGTGTAATGTGTTTGAGGTCATACTTGTGGTCAAAATGGACTCTTCCTAATTCACTTCCATCTCCAACATCTTGGTTCCCTTAGTTTTCCTCCTCTTATGCCTTTTCCCTCTTTTTTAAAATAGTTCTCTTATCATCTATTTCTTAGCCAACACCATGGTGAAAATAATAGACTTATATTCAAGAGTTACTGTGACAAGAAAGTTAAATCAAAATTATGGGAAATATAGCACTTCCGCGTGTTTGTTCAGCTGGTCGAGAAAGGCATGGAAGATGGGTGCAGAAGCAAACTCTCCTTTGCAGCCAGAACTCATTGTTCAGCACGAGTTGTGATGCAGACAAGAAGGTTTATGACACACAAGACATCTCAAAGGGGTGATGGTGTTGATCCGGTTGGCTCTAAGAACAGTTTATAACTTAGATGCATTGGTAATGTGAAAACAAAGATGTACCAAATCAGCATCCCAATTTTCATGTGATAGATACATGATAGATAGAATACTTTCTGCTATGGGGTGGTCTGTATGTCAAATAAAACACTGATTGGTCAGTGGCTAGGCAGGAAATAGGTGGGACAAGGAGAGAGGAGAATTCTGGGAAGCAGAAGGCTGAGGCAGAGAGACACCGCCAGCCGCCGCCATGACCAGCAGCATGTGAAGACGCCGGTAAGCCACCAGCCACGTGGCAAGGTATAGATTTATGGAAATGGATTAATTTAAGCTATAAGAACAGTTAGCAAGAAGCCTGCGACGGCCATACAGTTTGTAAGTGATATAAGTCTCTGTGTTTACTTGGTTGGGTCTGAGCAGCTGTGGGACTGGCGGGTGACAAAGATTTGTCCTGACTGTGGTCAAGGCAGAAAAACTCGAGCTACAACTTTCTTTTTAGAAGTCTTGTTAGATCATGAGGGTGGGAGTTGAAGATTCCTGTCCCACTGTAATTGGGGGCTTCTTTCAATGTAGGAAGTAGTAAGTTGTCTATGTAAATCTTTATTGTTTTTATTTTTAAGAATTGTTGGTTTCCCAATTGTGATACTAATTTCTTAAAGAGCCTTAGACTAAAAAGCAACCAAACAAGCAAAGAGGCAAAACTTCTGGTAAATGCTTGGATAGATATGCACATGTGTACACATGCATGCATTCATGTGAAAAGCAAGGAATCATAATTCTGAGATCATCATTCATTCAAATACCCCACACCATATGTGAGTGGGACCATCTCCTAGCCCAGTATTACTCAGCAATACTTGGTATTAATTTTGGAAAGGAGAAATTTGGAGACACACACATAGAAAGGAAGGCAGAGATCTACAAGGCACAAACACCATAGATTGCCAGCAAATGTCACATGTTCATAAAGAGGCACAAGCCAGATTCTTCATTACAGTCTACAAAAGGATCCAATTGTGCTGAAACCTTAGCTTGGCTTTCTGCCTCTGGTATTCCTGTTTTGTTTTGTAAACTACCAATTTTGTGCCACCTTGTGATAAGAGTCCTCATGAAGAACTAGACTTGCAATTATCCTCTTAGTACTAGGGGTAATAATAATCACAGCAAGTACTCCAGGCTGAACCATAACCACAGCAGCCATGTTAGACCTCCCTTTGTGCATTATTTTGACTTGTGCTTCAAAGTCTCTCATGAGCTAGTTGAAATTATTATTACCATTTCATAGGGGGGAAACTGAGGCTTAAGGCCTTAGAGAGCTCAAAGATTATTTTCAGTGTCATCCATATGAGGAGTTTGGCAAAATTTGGACCTCAGTCACCTTAATTCCAAAGCCACTCTGTGACTCTGGAGATTCTCAGGCAGAGAAAGTTCATGGGAGTCACTCCAGAGGTCATTCACTTTCCATTAGCCTCTGGAAATGAGAAGTGGTGAGAGATTTGAAAAGTGTGATGTTGACAATGCAGGGGTTAAGTGGGAGAGAACGGTCCCTGGGGCTGAGTCATCTGTTGGTCCTCCAATGTTCCGTCTCAGCGCCCCTGAGTCCAGGCTGTTTCCCTGTCATCACTGGCCTATTTTCTTGTAAGACATCTTAGTCATAAACTCAGTATGTCCTTTCTCCATCAGAAAACCCAGGCAAGCGTCTGGGAAACACCCCAAACCAGTTTTGCAGCCTGGGTTCATCATACTATAAGTCAGAAGATTGGGACAGGATTGAGTTCAGAGGTTAATTGAAGTCAGAAGTTTGGAAACTTTTTAATTGTTGATTTAATTATGTGCCACTCCTCCCTCACCCGCCCCTTTTTGTCTGTACACCTGAGCAATGGCTGATGAGAAACCAGTTTCTTCACACAGCTGTCTCCCTTAAACCTGGCCCCCTCCCAAAGGTAAAAGATCTGCAATGTCTGTCTGTCACTGTGGCCATCCCCCAGACACAAATTCACATTGTCAGGGCAGGATCTGGCCATTGTGAGAAGAGGGTTTCTGACACAAGCTCAGGGTCCTACCATGTGCTGCAGTGAAGTGCACAGAGTGGTATCTGGAGGCAGACGTGGACATTGTATTCCCAATGTATATACAAGGGTAGAGTTGCTGGGCTGGCTGGTGAATATTCCTCTTTGGTCTCAAGGTGACTTGGGGAAAGTTTTGGGTCTTCCTTTGACTCATACAGACAGGCTTGTGGATATTGTGCAAATTAAATAAAGCCCTGCCCCTAAAGAACCCACTGCAGTATTCAAAGGCATAGTCATTCTGGAAGAGGGGTTAGATCCTTGGAGATGGTAGTCTGTTGACAAGCCAAGGCTCTTACACCCTTTTCCATATCCTCTGTTAAGACAAAGGCAGAGACCGGCAATAGGTCCTGACTGGTCCCTCATGTTAATTTCCCTGTCTGCTCATACAGCTTCCCAGATGCTGCCAGGCCTCAGCGTGAATTATTGACTTGGAATTCACTCTTCATAGAAAGATGGGTCCCATGTGGGACAGCTCCCAGCTTCCAGAATTCACTGTGGGGCCCTTTCTTTCTCATTTACTAGGTGGGCTCCCTCTAGCCTGAGGGAGCTAATATGTTTCACAGTAGATTGCATCTGGCCAGATGTTCCTCTGTGTGGGCTCCTTAAAGCAATGTGGGAGGGAAGGAACACCCTGGAGTGCATGGGGTTTCAGCCAGAAGCACTGGTGTTACACCGCCCTGGTCCACACCACCCTCTGTTACTGCCACTGCTGTTAGGGAGCAAGACTGTGTTCCAGACTGAAAGCTTAGAGGCAGTGGTCCACATGCCCCCTTAGATAGTTCTTCTTTTTATTAGACATGTTCAAAAGATTATTCCTTTTGATAATACAGACTGCATTGTCAGAGATGTCTTTCAAGAAAGGAGCCCAATTATAGTCTACTACTAAATGGATAATAGCTACTCTGCCAGGTGACTATGGAAGGAGTAATGAGTAATGGCTAGGGTACCATGTATTTTGTTTGCCTAAGTCTGTTCTTCCAGCATCTCATTTAACTGTATGAAGTGGCAAATCAGCATTCTTTCCTTTTACCTAGCTTAAATCTGAAGGCATTTAAATATCTTTGTTATAACTCAAAATCCAAAGCAATGCCTCTAAAAGTTCTGTGGAGACACAAACTTTTCACAGGGGCTATGGGAGGCACCATTATTCACAAATCAGAATGGGGGTAGGGCAGCTCTATCTATCTATGTACCATTAGAGTATCAGCCAGTCAGCTGAATAGGATCAACTGAGGCCCAGAGAAAAGAAAATAAACAAGACTTCATGATCGGCTATTCTTAGAAAACACCAGGGCTACTGTGCCCTATTCTTCTTTGATTGAAAAATGTGAGTCTTAAAACCCAGCTCACGCTTTTTGATTCTGACTAACAATTGGGCTTGGAGGGAGATGCGAGCAGGCCCAGGCACTCTGATTGGATTCCAGGAACCAGTGTCTCATCAAAGACAGGAGGTTTGGGTGTCATGGCTTCCCAGAGCACACACCAATCTAGAGAGAGTTAAAGTAGGCTGACTCAGAGGACACAGAGAGGAAAGGAAACACCGTACTGACACCACAGCAGCAACATACAGCGTAGGGACAGGTAGGAAGGCCCCTGCCAAGAGTCTGCTTGCTATGGCGTCGTGGGACTATCCTCCCCACAGACACCTCCATGTCAGTCACCACAGAGCTTCTCGAGTGAGAACCGAGTATGAGAGCTGAACTGATGGAAGCTTAGAGAGAAGGAATGACGTACTCAGAGTCACTTGGCCAAGAAACGGTGGAGCCAGTTACCACATCCAGATGGGCCAGAGCTCTTTATCTCCCTGCCATCACATTTCCAAGGTGTGTCCATTCCCGGTCAGCTGAACTGAGTTTCTACTGCACACTCCTGTGGTTCCAATCACACTCATTCAGATTTTCTGTGGTTGTGTTTTGTTCTTGAGAACGTGGCCATCACAGGGTATGTGTCCGTTTGCTATTTTTTGAAAATATTATATAAGATATGGAAAAAATTCATCCCTGCAATAGTTGTGTTGTAATCCTAAATGAGGATCCATGTACTGCAGTAGCTGTAAGTTTCTCCGGTCCCATCAGGCCCCATGGTCCTGCAGCTGTTTATAAAATAATTACCCAGAGGCTTAATATTGATTGCAAATTCAAGAGCCCATTGGCTCAGCCTTCTCTCTAGCTAGCTCTTACAACTTAACTCAGCCCATTTCTATTAATCTATGCATTGCCATGTGGCTTCCTGGCTTCCTGGTACTTTCACATCTTGCTTCTCCTGGTGGCAGCTCACAGCATCTGCCCCACTCTCCTTTCTTCTCCTCTCTCTCCAGTTGGAATGTACTGCTTAATCTTATTATGCCTCATCATTGGCCAAACAACTTTATTTATCAACCAATCAGAGCAACACATATTCACAGAGTATAGCAAGACATCCCACAGCATACTATAGATATCCACAGTGGTGGTAGCAGATAATAAGGAGAAGTTAACCTTGTCATGAACAACGGACAGTGTTTATTCAACACTTACTGTGTACTACTTTCTACTATGAGCACGTTATATCATAAATCATCCATTCCTCATCAGAATTATCAAGGCTAGGACTCAGGTGAAGTGCATGAGTCTCTTTGGATTATAATACAAAATTCAATTCCAAGATCATGAAGAGTGAACATCACATTAAATTGGTACCGTATGTTCCCACTTGCTTCAGCCTGGTCCTAGTCTTACCTTAGGGGGATATGGGGATATACTATTCATGGCCACATGAACCTTTTACAAAAAGCAAACTGGAACTCTAAACATGTTTGTCAAATTTCTAGAAACACACAGAGAGTAAGTGGCAGAATTTGAATTCTAAACCAAGCCTGTTGCTATTATTCATATGAAGTTATATGTTTTTCAGTTT